TGACTGTATATTCAAGTAATCACAATGCCTAAATATAATTTAAAGAGTGGGAGAGTGACTCAACTCTCAAAACGTGAATTATTGTGGAGTGAGATGACACGAAGGCTCTATCACTGCAACTCCGAAATCAGAGCACATTTGAATTAATCATAACCGAAACTAAATATGTCGGTTTATACGATCATGTCTTTTATCTTTTAAACGTCCAGATTGATAAATCCTTGAAAACTGCTAGACTTGGTTAGTTTTGTCTGTGCAAAGTTCTGTATTATGTTCTACAATATGAAATTAACAAGAGGCTTCCTCTAATTCTGTGTAAAATTATAGAGCGACACGAAGGTAAGCGCATTATTGTTGTTGTTATTTTTTTAATTGTCGTATAATTAAGTATCAATGAATTACAGTTTTGAGTTGACTGTCATGGTGTGCGCATGAACGAGTGTGAAATACCTGCTAATTACGTAGCTTTTTCCTATCACTTATATTGGGCACTTTTTGCATTTAAACTGGATTATTCTGACTGCTGACATTGAAAATCATGCATGTGTTGTTTCGAGTGTATCGGTTAATTTCATGATTGCAGTTTTGACAGTGTCTGCTTGCATATTTTATTCATGTCGGTAGCCTAATTCTCTTTAATGTAGGCTATTCGCCCCGATTTGATCCGTTTACCCGCGAAAAAATTTATCTTATTTATAATTTGTATTATTTTGTCGTCAATATTTTGTTTAAAGGAGTTAAAATGGCCCTTATCAACCTTGATTTACATATTCTATAACATTATTTTGACAGTTCAAGTTTTGGGCGGTTTTTGTGAGCTTTTGGGCTGGAAATCGTCCATCCAATCTGGCAAAACTGCCCTAGAGTGAAGCAAACACGTCACTTCCTGTTTGTTGCTTGCATGTGTTTTGAGTTTGAGCTCAGTCAAGTTGATTCTTTATCGTCAATTTTTTTTATCTTAAAATCAATTTTATACGCCATCGTTTTCGTTTTTATAACGTGTGAATATATCCCCTATCGTATTCTACAACAAAAACAATCAGAGTGCCTTGTTATCACTAGTTCTATTTTAATTTCCTGAGTCCGCTATTAGCATATAGCCCGTTAGCATCGCCAACGTGGTTGCCGCTAATCTCGCTTACATTGCTAATACTCTATTCACACACATTACCAATGTTTTACTCACTGTTACTTGCTTTAATGGTGGGTGTGTGTCTACCTTTGAGTGCAGGTGAGGACACGTTCGAGCGGCATTCGGTGCAGCTCGAGCTGGAGGCCGTGGAGAGGCAGATCCGTGACCTGGTGGAGAGGCAGACCCAGCTGAGAGAGCGGACAGCCACGCTGGAAACATCCCAGGCTGACGCTCACAAGTCCGGGATAAGTATACAGCGCGCTGCTCACTCTCCCACCTCCTCGACTCCATCGTCCAGCATGTCCGTGCTACGTTAGCTGAAGGTAAAGTGCACTCTCACTGTTTCCCTGGTGCTCGTGTTCTCGATACCCGCGATCCTGAAGGGCGACGAGAGCACCGGAGCGGTCGTGCTTCACGCGGGGGTTAACGACACCAAGCTGCGGCAGACGGAGACACTGAAGAGGGACTTCAGGAGCCTGATCGAGACGGTGCCCGCGACAACGATCATCGTGTCAGGACCGCTTCCCACGTATCGACGAGGACACGAAAGGTTCAGTAGACGTTTTGCTTTAAATGAATGGTTATTGTCATGGTGTAAAGAACATAAACTGCTCTTTGTTAATAATTGGAATCTTTTCTTTTCCTAGGCTTTTTCGCGCTGATGGCCTGCACCCCAGCAGAGTCGGAGCGGAACTCCTGTCGGACAACATCTCCAGGACGCTACACACCATATGACTAGTAAGTCAAATCTCAAATAACTGCCCTGATGACTTGTGTTCTACCCGCTTAAATGATAGAAGTACTAGCGCTGTACAGTCTATAAAGACTGTGTCTGTTCCCCGAATATTGATGTCAAAATATAAATTTAAAGGGGTCATGTGATGCGATTTCAAGTTTTCCTTTCACTTTGGAGTGTTACAAGCTGATTGTGCATAGATAAGATCCCTGAAGTTGCAAAGACTAAAGTCTCAAAACCAAAGAGATATTCTTTATCAAAGTTAAGACTCTGCCACGCCCCCCTAAAACGGCTCGTTCTAACACGCCCCCACATATCTACCTCACTATGTGGAAATATTTGCATAATGCATGCGTGGAAAGAAGGCGTGGTTTCAGTAATCACAGTTAGTGTGGAAGCAGCCATGTCAGGGAGACGCTGTGTGTTTCTAAGCGAAAGCAAAATAACTTTATTTGGCCTTCCGAAAGTAGATGCATTTAGGAATCT